TGTTGTACTAATTTACTCCCTCGTTTTTGTTAAATCGTGGCCACGTTGTACTAATGTACTCCCTCGTTTTTTGTTAAATCGTGGCCACGTTGTACTAATTTACTCCCTCGTTTTTGTTAAATAGTGGCCACGTTGTACCATCTCATTCCCTAAAACAATGAAACTGCTTCTTAATTTGTGGCCACAATATATTTTTTTCCCCCTGTATGTCATGTACGAGGCTCTGTATAGTTTAATAAATCATGTTGCATTAAAGTGGCACCCGACATACACATTTTTCCATACAATTAATATTAATCTTTCAAATTAAACATTTAAATTAAACAATTCCCTGTATGACGGTCTTACCTGTTGATACCACATCTAAGCAGTCTTGGCCCCAGCGCCCCAGATGTTAGTGAACATTTCAAGAGCAGGCACCTCCTCCCCAATGTGATCCAGTTTACGCAAGTGCGCACTTTCCATGATTTCCATGATCTTGTCTGCCATGCGTTTACCAATGCCTGGGATCTTACATGCTTCCTATAGATAGATGGGGTAAAAAAAAAAATGTTGATGTCCAAGTTATTGATATTTTTACTGTATATTTTTAAACAAAAAATGGGAATGTCTCTTATTAAAGTATTTATTTATTAATCACTGATGCATGCTTGAAACTAGTCATAAAATGCAAACTGCCATGCAACGACAGCCATGTGTTCTTAGCACAAATAAGCACCTCAGTGAACCGCAAAACCTCTGCGGACTCATATCTGTATCTGAACTGACCTCATATGAAGTGATGGGCTTGTGATAGCTCTTAAGGGCGTTGATTGCTTTAGAGTAGCCCAGAGCTCTCCGTTTATCGCCCGTGTGCGTATAGGCTTTGGCCAGCGGCTCCAGTTTGTCAGTAATGTGCTTGTTATGGTTCTCCCATATAGTTGTGGATGGTTGGGAACAGACCCACTTGCCAGACAAAACTGGATTCTCCACCAAACTCTGGCTCGGGTTGCTCTCAGATGGATGAACGCCACTGATCAAGGCCTCCAGATCATTCTGAGATACACCATCTTCCTCATGGTGCTCCTCCTGAATCTCTGGCACCTGTGAGTCATATTAAAAGCACTGCATGAGGGGAAAAACAACTGATGGATCTTACAGACAGAGACAATTACATCCAATTCCACCCTTTTTACCGTCTCTATGAGATTTTCTTGAGGATTTTTTATTTATTTTCAAGGATTTTCAAAGGATCCTGTGCTGCTGCTACATCTGGAACTGGGCTGAATGCCGTCTCATTTGACTCCTCAGCAAGAGCAACTGTGGGACTGAGGAGATGCTCATTAAGTATTTATTTCTAATAAGCACTTTTGCGCTGAGTAAACATTTACAAATGTATTCAAAAGTCAAACAAGTGTCTAAATATCAATGCTGTTTTACACAGACTCCAGTGCCTTACCGCTCAGGAGGAGGAAGGCTGTAGTCTTCAGGGTCTAGTAAACTTTTCTCACTGATGCAGACACTCAACCAAGTGCATTTGACCAGATGAACAGCAGAGGGCAGTCTTTCCACTTTCAGAAGTCTCAAAGCTCTTACAATCAACCGAATCATCAACCACGATGTGTGTGCAGCTGGGAGAGATTGTGGAAACTACCCGTCCTCCATTCTGGGTGATCTGCCGATGGAATATCTCACATCTGGCTTTCCCTATACCAGCTGGAACTATATATATTGTGACTCCTTGGAAAACTGTACCTAAGAAAATACAACCACTAATACATGATTGGGCTGCCATGAAGAAGGTTGTGAGGAGAAGGAGATCAATTCTTATATGACAAATGATACTCTTAAAATGTGTCTTTTATTTGCAGTTGAAAGTGTTTAAAAATTCTGATATTAGAACAGAACTACATGACACAAAAAGTTTTGTAAATTGATTAACCTCACATTTCAGCTTTTAAAGGGGACATCGGATGAAATGTTCACTTTTTTTTTTGTTTTTTTTTTTGCATTTATTTAATTTTCTGATGTGTCTGCCTGCTCAGAAAAGCTGAAAAGAAAACACGCAGCCAGTTTGTTATGGGCTGTCTGAGTGTGAAATTGTGTCATCCAGCGAGCTGTTTCAATTTGCAGCCGGTTTCTATGTAGATAGCGAGCTATTTGAATAAGATCACCTCCAAGCCATATACAGAGTACGGTCGGCAATTCACGTGTCTCGTGTCGACATGCCCCATGGAAGAGAGGGATGGGGTGAGCAGTAGCTCATTATAATTTAAAGAGAAATGCACTGAAACAAGTCACTGTGAACAGAGCTGTTTTTAACAAGAAAAAAAAGTTTTACACGACCATTGAGGAATTTTAACCAAAGTATGCTTTTCATGAAGACCCTAAAGAACCATACCAACTTGTGGAAAATGGGCATCCGATGACCCCTTTAAACCCTACTTTTTTTTTTAAATGACAAATCAAATGTATTATTATTATTATTATTGTTGTTGTTGTTGTTATTTTATGTATATTTTTGTTAATTGTGATTATCACAAAAATGAACATTGTAAACCATTAAATGACCTTAATAATTATTTTTAACAAAACTTTACTTTTCAAATAATATACATTTTGACAAAAACAAAGTTTTATAACATTTTAAACCTCACATTTCAATTTAAACCATTTTAAGAAAAAAGACAAGTCAAAATTATATTACATATATTTGAAATTACGCTTTGTTTTAAACCAAGAATATTCCTTTAAATTTTCAAATGCGCCTCAGTGAGAGAAATCAATATTTTGTTCACATAAACGGTTTAACAATCAGAAAGTATCTAAATACTGTGTTTTCTGAACAGGGTTGCATTTCCCAAAAGCATCATAGGCATTGATTGTAGACACCATTTGCATCTAATATTATAGGAATGACTACACAATCACTGCATATTTCAGTGTTGTACGTACAATAAGACTTGAAGTTACGTAACGCTTAGCAAACAACCTGTAAACGTCCAAAATTAAGGCTCCATAATAATTTTAAACATCCTGATGCTTTATTACAGTTGTTTTCAATCCTGGTTATTTACACACCTGATTAAGGGCCAGTTGTTAAGTAATTGTTGTTGTATTCAAAAATGAGCACTGGCACTATAGCAATAGGTTAAAATCAACCTATCAATCAATCAAACTATCAGTGTCTATCTATCTATCTATCTATCTATCATTAGTATTATTATTATTATTTATGTGATTCACAGAGCACCGATCTAAGTCAGTTAAGCTCAACAAATTAAATTAATTTTCTTATGTAATGTCTTCATAACTCATTAAAAGCAGCAGCATTTGACCATTCATCCAATAATACATAATTCAGTTCAACAGGAGGATCTAATTGAAAATACTGCTGCATGTTGTAAAATATGGTGCTTTATTCTCTCAAACTGCCCTTGTTGTTTTAATAGAGTGTATTTTAGAGGGAGAATTATGAACCTGTTATTGGTTCAGCAGGCGTCTTCTTGAGAGGAGGCGCGTCCTTCTGATCTTTAGGACTGTGTCTCTTTACTTTAGGGAAGGCTTTCAGGATGCCATGACCCTCCATTCGGGCCAGGGAAAGGAGAGGAACTTTAAAAACAAAATGACTGTGATCAGTAGGGTTCACAGAGCTACAGAATACAAAAATACATAGATCTACAGGAGAAGGCTTCGTAAGAATTAAGTCCTTATATTTGCAACCAACGCCCGGTAATGAAGCGAATAAAAGGATCGTTACATTACAACGCATATTCAACATTATATCTCTTTAAATGCATAGTCGTATTGTAATAGCAACTTGGATAGCTTAAAAACACCACAGAAGTACCTCTCCCATCGCTTCTTTTTAAGAACAACGAGTGTTTTAAACGGATCAACTTCCGGGTCATAGTCAGAAGTAGAGCTGAGGTTTTTTTAAACAAATATTAAACAAATATTTAAAATTATACATGACTCTTTGTACTTAATTTTAATACGTTTAATTGTGACAATTACATATTTTTGTATGTAAACTTGGTAAATCGTTAAAAATACGAAATATCTTGTTTGAGAAATAGCAGTTGCCTTGGCAACCTCAGGCGTGGGATTGTTTGAGGAAATGAACCCGTATGAAGCATGGCTGTTCAACACTGGGCAGAGACTCTTAAGAAAGCCAAGAAAACGGCATTAATAGCTGATGGTGCGCATATATCTTCTCTATTATTTTTAGATTAGTTCATTTGTATGTGTATTTATGTTGGCAGTCGTGTTAATAGTCTTGCTAATAAGATGTATTAGCCGTATAACTATTTGCTACACGCTAATAGCAATGAGACCTATGCACAACATCATAAAAATAACAGTTTAGAAAGAATTGTTTCATTTAGTTTAAAGCTTGAATATTGTTCGATGTAAGCTAATGTATAAATTGAGCTCCGCCTTCATATGCCTCTCTCATTAGGGAAAAGGAAAGTTCATTATCTGTTTGAGGATGGCAATGAGATGTCTGAGGAGTATGACCTGAAAACAGATGAACTTGTCTGTGAGTCATTTTTCTTCTCTGGTTTTATCTGATCGAATCGCATGCGAATTCAGTTTTGTGTTTAGTAATTATTTCATCTTTCTTTAGTGCGAAAGTGGCGACATAAAACCACTTTAGGAGGCCATGGAGAGTGGACATGGGAAGTTGGTGAAACAAACCCAAACGGCCTTACCTCTGATTTAATAAAAGAGAGCAGTTCAAATGTAAGGTTACTATTTCACTTTCCTACGGAATAGATGATGTTCTTAATCTGTTTATAATGATGTCTGTTTTTATGCACACAGCCATTGTTCATGCGTAAGGACACAAAGACCAGTTTCCAATGGAGGGTCCGTAATATTTCTTACCCTATAGAAGTCTACAGTGTGTCAGCAGAGCCCACGGAAAGATGTTGTGTCATCCGAACCTCAAACAAAAAGTCAGTTATTTAGTATGTTGATTGTGGTTTATGCCTTAAGTGTTTTAGACTAATTTAGTGTTTATTTGACTATATTGTATGTTGTCAGGATGGGTGGTTGAATTGGACAAAGCATCACATTTAAAAAAAAAAAAAAGGGGGCAGTTTAAGTTGTTAAAGGAATA